TAATCTCTTCCTCTGCTACAGCAGCCATGCCTCCTCTTCATATGCTCAACTTTCAGCTTCAAACCCCTCAGGTGGCTGGTCCCTATTGCTCTTAGCAGCTGTGCCTCACTGCCTTGCAGCCTCGCTCTAATCCCGGCCAAAATATATTCCTGACCAGTTGATCTACCCCTTTCCTCTTGCACCAAATCTTATCATTTAGCACATCCAGTTCTTTTTCTTCCTTTAGCCCCCTCTTAGCTGTCCTTTCCCCAGCAAGTCTTCCCTTGTTAGATAGCTTTTCCAGGCCTCTCATGATCTCAGCTGCACCTTTTCTTGTCCGAATCCATTTGTATTAAATCTAGTTAATTTTGTCCTGCCTGTCCCAATTCCCCCGTACTTCCAGCTAGCTGCATTAGGTTTCATTTCCGTGCCTACTTCAAATCTCTGTAAGTACTTGTGGCAGTACAGCTGACAGAAATCCTTTAGAAAAGCCTACACTTCGCAAATACAATCCACCCTCCCAAAGGTTTAGCTACCTAGCAAGAGAATACTACTAATATCAGGAGCATATATGAAGAGTCTAGCCAGCTGCCTACTTAAATCCCTGCCTATTCATCAACTCAGAATAACCAACAGGAAGAAAAGAGTAAAAAAGAATTTTTTTTTTGGTCCTCCAGAGCTTATTGTCCTGTCTCCTACAAAGCAGGATCTTTCTGCTCTCCTAAATCAAGCCTAGTCTCTTCCTAAGTCCATGTGGGAGCTATATAGGCTCCACTTCACTCAATTAATTCCCAGCTGGGAGTGATTGCTGTCCTGATTCTGAAAACCCCTGTTGGGTTTTAACACTGACCTTGCCATGCCATGTTTTGGCCAGACCTCTCCTTAGAAGCACCAGTGTGGGGAGATAGCAAGTAATGGATATGAAATACCCTCCATGGGACCCTAAGAGACCTCTTGTTATGCTGCTGTCATGTAACACTGTTGGAACAGATGAAGGGGGTGCAGTTCCTCACCAGAAGTGGCTGTATTTCACTGGTGAGGAAGGAACCATACAGGGAAGGAGGAAGGTCTTGTGGCTAAAGCCCAAAATTAGGGCTAAGAGTTCTGGGTTGTGTTCCTTGACTTTGCTGCATGACCTCAGCTCAGTCACTTCAGTTCTGCATGCCTCAGTTTCCTCCTCCATCCTTCCCCTTCTCCACATGCTTGATAAGCTCAGCTTCTTGCTATGTGCATTTGTAGTGCGTCTAAGGCAATGCAGCCCCAGGCTTAGTTAGACTCTTTAGCAAAGTACCGGCAGTCCAAAAGCCCGAGGCTCAATTGAGTTAGTCTTTGCAGGTAAGTCAAAGCTGTGTAGACTGAACCGATAAGCAGGTGAACAGACATTCACTCTTGATTCTGGAAATGCAGCCACATGCCTGCAGTGGCCCAGGCCATTAGCTGCGGGGTGCTACAGCATGCCTCCCTGCTTGGCTGGAGCAGACAGCTTGGGCCAAGGCTAGTGTGTCCACCCTGCAAGGGTGGGGAGGGGAGGGGAGGGGGTTGTGGAGGAGGTGCAAAGCATCCTGGGATGCTGGGGGACTGTGAGTTAACTTGAATGTGGAGGGGATCTGGGACAGAAGTTCAATAAACCGATTCAACCTAAATCAGTTCAATTCACTGCCAACTCTGATCCTTCAGGTCCCACCCTCTGCCCCTTTCCTGTCTCAAATTTGGACATGCAGGGCAAATGAATGCTGCTATTCATCTTTTATTTTCAATACAAAGCCTGGAATCGATTTTCCAGCATGTGACTAAATGAGATAAAGTATCATCCTGCTAAAGCTTATTATTGTCATTATTGTTATCATTTTAAATTATAGAGCCCAATTCTGGACTTATTCTAAGAAAAGTAATGATAGCTATCCCATCTCCTTGCCATGCGATGCTGGCTCCCTGACATGCTCAACTCTTCTGTTAGATCTTAACTAACAGGATCAGAGACTTCCTCCTCAACTGAAGATCAAAGATCCTTCTTTCTCAGTCCAGTGTTAGACCCGCAGGTATTTGCAAAAGCATTTGCTAGAACTAGCTCAGTTCTACTGCTTCAGCAAATTGCTTTGGAGAGGGCATGGAGGCATCAAGGGAACTTGGAGTGAATTTTCCTTACTGGTTGAAATTAATTTTTTCCAACCATTTGCTCTTTTTCAGGTACCTCTACACTTCCCAGGTTAAGACTTATACCCCATAATCTCTCAAATGTCCTATAGAAGTCCTGAGACATGGTAAAATGAATTGCAAAACACTGGATACTCCAGTCTGACTTCCCTTTCTATTTGTGGCCCACCCAAAACTACTTAAGGCCACTGGGAATATGAATGGATGGAAGGCATGGTGTTTCGGTCGCTACAGGAGTTGAGAGGTGTATAGCCATATTGCATAATCACGTTGGCCTAAAAGACTTGTATGACAACTAGGGAGATGTTCATAGGCCATGGGATCTGTCCATTTAAACCTTGAGGATGGCAACTGTGGCCAAAGGCTTCTGGAAGCAGTTTGGAAGCAGAGCAGGGCAAATCTTAGTGGTAGTCACTGTGGCCACAATTGAGATTACGTATAAGCCATGAAGACTGTTTTCATACCAGGAGCGATAGTTTGTAGGCATCCTCAGAGCTAAATGCAAAATGGTGATGCAGTGAATGCCCCCCCCAACCACCAAATTGAAGAAACACGCAGTAACCTGCAGAGACTGAGAAATGAGTGTGATCTGCAGGGATCCTGGTTTTCTCTGATTAAAAAACAAAAATCCCAAATTTTTGGCTACATCCTCCCCCCCACCCTAAAATCCACATTTTTTTTTTTTGATAAACCAGAATCCCTGGTGATCTGCTGTGCAGTTTTGGGAAGTCTTCAAGAAACTGGAGAAATCTTCTGTTCGCTTCCTTTTCTAAATGATCCTCTTCACAAGAACATTCATTACAATAAAGGCTGTAGAGCATCTTGTTTCATAGCAAGTTTAACACTCGTTAGATGCCATTATTGCTATGACTTTTGGCCTCCACTCAAATGCTAACATATCTATTAGATAAAAAAAGAGGTTAAAAAATAGGTTTGGCTACTGAAGGACTTAATCAGATGAATGCCATCATTTATTATTCATTAGCTATAGTCCAGTGGTGTCTGTAGAGTCGTATCTATATCAAAGCCCTATTACATTAAGTAGTGTTCTTAAGTGTATTAAGGGAAGCTCGCTTGTCAAAGAACTTGCAAACTGAGTAGACAAGATAAATAAAGACTAGGAGCAGGGACAGTTTTCTATGTGCATTTTACAGAGAGGGACGGGGTGGGGGGGAAACCTTGGCAGAGAAGGACCTGCTGAAAAGCTGCACAGGAAGAGTAGAAGAGCTGGGAATTGGAGCTGGGTCTCCTGAATGCCAGTCCTTCAGCCCCTCTTTCTTCCCTTATATTGCAGCAATAATGACTGTGGGGTGGTTTGAGGGGGGGCAAGCATTTCATACTCAGCTGGAGTCTTTTGGGGCCAACAAGGAAGCTTCAGTTCCAGTAGGTAGATTCCTTTGAAGAAGTCAATGCTTCATCTTGCAAGTCTGGGGGCTTGATCCTGCAATGGTGTTGAGTATTCGTGCAACATACTGCACAGCCTCAAACCCCGCTGACTTCAGTGGGCCTGGATCATGTCTCAGCTACACAAGTAACCCTCCTGGATGTCCAGGAAGAAGGGGACAGACCTCTCCAGCAGGGACTTTCAAGTGCAGCTCAACAGAAGTGTAAATTGTGCTTCTAAGTCATGAAAGCCTTTTGAAAAACCTTGCTCCATTCTTCATACTTCTGTCGGTGAATCTTTGAGACCCTATACTAAGAAAAGCCGTCCTAAGAAACGTAGCGGCAATAGGGTTGGGTGGTTTTATTTTCAACAAATACAATTGTAAGAGACAGATGAGATCTACAGCACCAGACCAGTCTCGCTCTCCTGGACAATCAGGCTAGGGACAGAAGTTAAGCGATCGGAAACTGGTTTAAACCTGTAACAGAACAGACATTCAGTGCACATAAACCAGTTTCAAAATGGCGGAAACTGCTTTAAGATAAATCTGGTTGAATTTAGCATCAGACTTAAGTGATTTAGGTGAAATCGGTTTATGAAACTTCTGTCCCAGACCTCAAAGGTGCCCTCTGAGCTCCCCCAACACACGAGAGGAACTTGATTCACAAAAATTATTTAAGCATCTGGAGAGGGAGGCATGCGTCTCCAAGTGAATTTGACTCACAACAGAAGTTGGGCACTTCAGCACACAGGGCACCCAGCTACATCTTGAGGCACCTCTATCCCTTTGCAAAACTAGCCCTTTGTGCCCTCTTAAACAGGTGCAGCAATGCCCTCCTATGCTCTTTGCAAAGCACCTCACTCACTCTTGGTTTGCTATCAGTTAATAAATATAATAGTCAACAAGCCACAGCATCACGTTAGTGAAGTCCTACCATCCGAAACATCCCCGTTGGTGCCTTCTCACGCTGTCAGGCCAGTTTCCATTTCTCAGCCAAAGGGATTCCACGTCTGGAATTGCAAATGATCTCTCTGATGTGCTTGTTTTTATTTTACAGCATATATTATTTGGAAGGCTTTTTCCACTCCTCTGATGAACTCTTCACACTTCGTTGAGCAGAGGGTTTGTGGGAAAGTCAGGCTGCAATATACTCCAAGAAGACATTCACATCACGTTGGTTTAGGTGGAAACAGTAAACTTGATTTATTGAAAAAAAATCTATTACATTTATTTCTTTATTACACAGGTTTAAAATATTTAAAAATACCTCTTATGGGCATTACACTTAAATTTTATGACATGTTTATTGGACTTTGAAGAAATGTACAATATGTCATTTGACAGTATATTTTAAAAAGGGCCTTATGTACTAAAATCTTTTTTTTTTTTCCATAGGTTTCATTTTTCTTATCAACATTTGTTCAAGTCATATATATATTAAGGGAGGGGGGGTGGGAAATAAAATTACACAAAAAGAACGTCTGCAAATACAAGAAGTAATTTTATTGCAATATACCGTAGCTAAGTGGTCTGGGGGAAAAAAAATGGAACAGTTTGGAACTTCAGTACAATTACAAACACTGTAGGATTCGATAGAAAAGGTGTTTTTTTTTTTTTAAAAAAAGCCAAGAAATAAAGGAAAAATAAAAAGCTCCCTTGATGAAAAATCATCATAACAGAATCACATGACCTAGACATAATCACACGTGGGTGGGTGTGTATTGATATATGGCTTTTCTACTGCAGAGATGAATGTGCAAAAATTTTGCGTTTCCCACTGCTCCCGGTACAAGGCTATTGTCAAGGTGAACTAGAAGCTGACTTGTGATATGTATGTATTTTCACTGCTCTGCTGTTTTGGTCTGTGATGTTTTATTGTAGCACCTTTCTTCCTAACAGGAAAAACAAAGATAGATGTAAAACTGGCTCTCGCAGAAGGAAAAAGCACTGCAACGGTTTTGCAGTGGAACAGCTTCTTGCTTTATGGCCCGAGCGCTGCAAATAACTGAAGGTCTCCGAAAACTTAGCTAACCTCCCTTGGATCAAACATTGCTAGTCTTTGCTTGGGAGGGAAGGGGAAAGGACATCATATATAGGTTTCGATTCACAGTAAATGTGATGTCATTTCCTTTGCGATGCTGGACCCCCCTCGGTTCAAGCATGCTGCAGTGCTCCAGGCCAAATCAAAACCCGCCACGTTGCGTTCCAGCCGAGATCTCCCAAAGGAAGGAACGGCTGGGGGAAAATGTATGTCAGCAGGTTGCAATCTGATATTGCTTAATGCTACGTGGAAAGCCTTCCTGGCAACCATCATGGGAAGACAAAGAAAATTGCACATTCTCTTCTCTTGCTCTTGCTCTCTGAGCTGTTTGAAGGCACTTACAGCTGAGGCAGCACAGAAAGACAATTGGGCAGTTTCATCTTCACTTCAGTACATTGAACAAATACATAAATTAGCACCACAAACATTCAGCAACTGAGTACAATCTGGCATAATTACCACCATATAAAATGTATGAATATTTAAAAAAAAGAAAGAAAGAAAGAAAGTAAGCACACTTAATACTTTCTACATGGGCCATATAAGCTCCCATAATACAATTAAAAAAAAAGAAGCAGCTCTACATAATGAGTATGAGGGTGGCATGCAATTATATCAAAGACTGTAGCGAAAGTGTGCAGTCTGTGTTGAAAGCAGCTAAAGTGAAGGTTGCCGGGAGATTGGTCGATGGCAGGGGGTCACCAGTGTTGTATTAATGTTCTTAAACAGATAGCACCATGAAGAGGAATGTAAAAAATAATACAAAGCACCTTTTAAAAAAAAAAACACAAAAATTATTTTTAAAGAGGAAGAAAATGGATTTCCCTGCCATGTGCAATCTACCCTGGGAATGGAATTAAAAAAAAAAAAAGGAAGGGAAAAATTAATTTAGACCTGTGTGTTTAAGCAAGTGTAGAACTAGGCAAAAGAACCAAACTTGGCTCGGGGTGGGGGGGGTGGGTTGTGTTGGTTATATATATTTTTTAATCACCAATTTTATAAATCATGGCGTCCAGAGTGGCATATTCTATTTTTGCAGAAAAAATTCTCCCAAAGATGTGAGTGGCTTAAAATGATCTTGCTATTTCTTTTCTTTTCTTATTTTTGGCAGACTTTTGCCACTAACATGGACCCCAATCCTGCAAATACATATGCACGGGCTTACCTTGAAAACCACAACGAACCCTGTTGACCGCTGACATGAGCCAAAGTGAAGCCTCGGCATCCATATTGGCAAGATTGGGAGTGTGCACAGAAACAAGGGAAGTTAGCTTAATGGCCTCCATTTCTATCTTTCTTGTTTGTGTGCGATGAGAGGGGTATGACTTATTACAGACAGGGTCACATGCATGTTTTGAAGCCAGAAATATTTAACACTTTAAAATAATATACAATACAAATATTTACTTACAAACATACAAAAATATAAGCACCTTTAATACTTGGGAAAGAGATGCCCGTAGTGATATTTTGCTATCGAATTCATTGGGGTCATTTTTTAAGGTATTGAAACAGAGATTTTTAAAATGCTGGAAACAGCCATTTAAGCCTGATTTACAGGCTTGCCCCATTGGCCACTGAAGTCAATCCAAAAGTATTCAATGGAGTTGGGATCAGGCCTAGACTTCGCAATATTTCAAGGTCAAGTTCAAGACAGTTTCAAGTTTTCCATATTTTCTTTAAGCAAAAAAAAATTAAAAAAAAAAAATCCATAAACAAGTGCTTGATATAAAAACTCGCGGTAAGAGAGTCTTTGATCATTTTGAATTCCCATGCATTGAGACAGAAGAAGTTGAGTCCATTGGTGGCCATGCAAAAGAAGTGGAGAGAATAATGTATCGTAGCCTTGACCTGTTTGGGGGGAAGAGGGGGGGAAATCTTGCTTTGTCACATGTGGTGCATTTAGGTCGTGTGATTCTGAGTCTGTTGCTGGAATGCTTCCCTCGCTCGCTCGCCCGGTTTTCGATTCGGTAGGTGTGGTGCGGTGGCACAGTTGAACTCAAGCAGAACAAGAAACAAAACCAAAAAAAAAAAAAAAGTAGAACCCATCGCTGTCCAGTTTCAGAACGTGCATGTGACAACACAATTCTCTCTTTTTTTCTTTTCTTTTTTTGTTGTTTTGTTGTTTTTTGTTTGTTTTTTTTCCTTAATGGCGCAATGAGGTTACGAGGTTGCTCATTTGGAGACTAGTTTCCGGTTGGCTCTTAGCCCATGAAGCACGCAGGTCCCACCTCAAAGCCAAATTTCTGTGATGCTTCTCCGAAGTCATTGAACATGATGTCAACGATAGGCACTTGCTCGACTTTGGGCGTGTTGATCTCTAGGATCGTCTTTTGATAGCCTTTCTTTGCCTACAGAGGAAGAAGTGGGGAGAGGGGAGGAGGGGGGGGAAAGGTGAGATATCACCTTTGATCTCAAATGGACCCGAGAGTGTGAACGAGCCCCATGGTAACCTCAGGCTATGATAAACAGTCATTTTACGGTCTCATCAGAAAGTGGAGACAACCAAATCCAGCCTCGATGTAAATCCGCAGTTTTGCTGAGCGGCTGCAACTGCTCCCACTTACAGCAGAGACAGATTCAGCCCAGAGTCCGGTACATTAATACAGTGGGTTAATTTGTGCTTCTACTAAGAAGAGTTATATATATCAGAGGTGATATCAAGGGTGCGCTTGTCTTGGACTGGCCACAAGTAGGGTGGCCTGGCCTGGCTTACCTGGACTTAGGGCTCCATGCTACCATGCAAGAGGTCCCCATGCATGATCTCTATACTCCCAGGCCAGGGTGTGGGGGTTACTCCATGCAACACTGGAAGAGCATCAAGATGAAAGTGGGAAGTAAAGAAAGAAGATGGAGCGGTTTAAACTAGGGAAACTGGGCTATGGGTGAAGCCTACATAGGTGCAGGAGGTGAAAAATGATATGGTGGCCATGAATGCAGAGGAAGAGGCACCACCAAGATTTTCAATGATGGGTGTCTCCAGTTTGGGGTGTCCTGGCAGGTTCCTCGCAGTTGCACTATAGATAATGGTTTGCTTTTTTATGGATGTTAAATGAGATGGAAGGACAAAGTCTCAGGCTATTCACTAGATTTGAAAGTCAAGAATCGAGTCATCCCTGCCTGGAAAATAAGTATTATGCAGTCCCTGATGCAGACAAGTCTGTGGGATACCCTCCTTACCACTGAACAAGAACGGGGGAGAGGCTACTGGACAGAGAAAGGATTTGAATACAGCTAAGACAGCTCTCAAGTGGATACAAGGAATCTGCGTGGTCTGATCAGGTTTTTCTTTTGCAACTGAGTGCAAAAACTACGGGTTTGCTGCTTTCCCAGTGTTCAGCACACACAGGAGCAGGGAAGGGAGACTAGTAAAACTGTTGTGGCTGCAGTATCGTTGTTGTACCTCCCTGAGGAGGCTCAAGGGTTGTTAAGCAAATGTGAGCAATTTAATTTGAATATATTAGTTTGACTGCTACCCAAATGCTACAGAAAAGACCGCAGTTATACTTCGATGGAATTCACCAGGTACGGTTGTTGTTTTATCGTGCCTGTTAGCCATCCGGTTATTTCTGAAATATAAATAATTATTAGAGGAGCACAAGTGCACCCAAGGGCATACAAAACTGCAGAAAGAAGTGAATTTATGGAGTGGCATTTTGCTTTACCCTACCCTCTGATTTGCCTGTCTCAGAAGGACCGGTTATAACCCAGCAACCGGGAACAGGCTATAAGAAATACGTCCTAATAATGGCCCAGACATTATTCCTTTGGTGTTTGCTGTAGCAGTATGAATGGTGGCAGGAGCATGTGCCCAATCTGCTTTCACAGGAGCTGTGCTGCAATGCTGCACTGGCTAGCAGGCCATTATTTTTTCAAATGGTAGGACCCAACCCGTGATCCCTAACTCAAGCAAAATCTCTGTTTCGAAACCTGGAAAAAAATTTCCGGACTGTTTCAGCAAGAAACTCCTGTGTTCTGAACTTCCAAGGGCATCGGTGTGCTTCAGCACTGTGCAGGATCAAACCCTTAGGAGAAAATCCACTGCTGTGCAGATGACGAATGCAAGTCCTGGCGCCATTTAATGCCTCACTGATATTAAGGGCTCCCCGCGCCCTTAGATACCCAAAGGACTGGCTAAGTCAGACATGGTGAGGGATTGGACTGAGAATAAGGAGGAGGAGTAATGCTTCCAAGAACGGATCATACAGACGGATTGCAAGCTCACTGCAGCAGCTACCTGACTATCTTTTTCTGGGAGGAGGGTTGTTCACCTTTGGGCACAGCACAGGACATGAACATTGCCTTACAGGAATCATTGCTCTCAGTGCACCATAGATGACCAGAAAAATAAGTAATTAAGCAAGCAGGTCAGGCTGTGCCAGTGGTAAAACCGATATCGTCTGCACTGGGATCAGTAGAAAGATAGACACACACCCGATCAGCCCCAAACCCGTTCCATTTTGAATATTTACCCTTTTCAGGTACGGCGTCATACCATTATTCACCTTGGAGCTGACCCCTGAAGGCACATCTTTTGAGAGGCCACCATAAAATGATGTGGAAGTCCTGGGCTTTATTTCTGGGTTGGCAACTGTCGTGGTCTACAACCCAGGCACTTAAGCTACCAATGCCAGTTTCCCTACCGACAATTCCTCTATTTACTGTGAGCACCTTGGAGCTGGGGCTACCTTTGTACTTGTGCAATACGTAAGACAAAAGGGCCCTGATCTCTTTTTAAATGCTAAGCAGTGCACTCCTGTGGTGTTAATAATTGCTGCAAGTTGAGCCCCTTGTTGCACCTGCTGCTTAGTCCCCACCATGCTCTTTTATCTGGGCTGGGTTACGGTTTCAGGTGGGTAGCAACAACAGAGGCAAATAAATTCGGATGGAGCAAGTTCTGTTTTCATGCAAATACCCTTTGTTACAAAGAATAAAGGGAAAAGAAATGTAGGGAATATAAAGCACCCAAGCAGAATAATTTCCTGACCGAAATGCTTTTCATTGGGTCTATCAGCGTTTAAACCTGTGATGTGTGATCTTCCAGCATCCCTGAGACTTAATAGGGAAAGGGGAGGGGGGATTTTTCTAAGGACACATCACATTATCCAGAGATATGAAGTACTTGAGAATAAACTTCCCTGTGTGGCGTCCGAGCGTTTGCAGCAATGGGCTGAACACTCTTCATCTCTCTCTCTCTCTGCAGCAGCGTTAAGAGAATTAGCGATTCTAATTGAATTTCCCTTCATTGCTTCTACAGTAAAAACATGCCGGCTTTGGGATGGAATCACTTTAATCTCTTAAATTATATGAAGGGCTTTCTCCATCAAACACCCTTTTTTTTTTTTTTTACTTCCTTCATTCCCATGGACTTTGATCATTCCAATTGCAAAAAGAGAGATACATTTACATATTTTTCAGCATTCGCAAACTGGGTCTCGGCATGCACAGAGCTGTCAAACAGCAGACCAAATTCTCAGGTCTTTTTGCTGGAAATTTTTAGAAGGGCTCAGCATCCTTAGCCCGGTTTTTCAGAGCACGCTTATCTTCCAGGTAGCAAACAAAATGAGCAGGAAGGAAGATCCTGGGTGGTTACCACCTTGCAAAAAGCTGGCTGCTATTAAGCTGCCGGAATGAGAGCCTGGCCTTGTAAAAGCTGGAGCCTGGCTGTGGGTGCTGAAACTTAATCTGAACTCTTGGAAAAATCACAGCCTCCAAGTTGTGCTTGCTAGACATGTGCATGCACAAATGCAAGATGTAGGTAACTGTATTTGCACTTCTTGATTCCAGCGAGAGCTTTGCCTGGAGAAGCTATTTATCTAAGGGATTTAAAGCGTCTCTATTATGATAATATTGGAAGCCTTCATTTCATTCTTTAATATATCACCGTAAGATAGGCCAGCACCCTTATCCCCATTTTACAGGTGGGGAACTAGCATGCACAGTCACCAGAGTCCACAATAGACCAGAACCCTTGAGCCGTCTCCCGGGACCGTCACCGTTAAACCTCCTCCTTCTGAATACCTGCCCTGCTCTTCCCAAACTAGAGCCCTCGGCCTTGTGTGGGTTTGTCCTTTTGCAAGGGGAAAGGCTGTTAGTAGTTTCAACATTTGCTTAACAAGTATTGAGCAAATTGAAACACCGGCATCTTAGCTCCTTTGTCAACTTCAAGAATGAAGTCATGCAGCGGATGCGCAGTGTAACCGATCCTTTTAAGTCAGCAGACTGATCAAACATCATCTGTCTTGCGGACTGAAGATTTAAAAACTCGTGTCTCTCAAAACACTGCCCCTCACACTGGGGAGTTGAGCCCGAGCAGCAGGTAGTGGGAAAAACAATATCCGTGCTTTAGCACATTGCCTTTCCGAGCTCTCTCCTAATACTGTGTGGCTGCATATAGGCAGGGTGGCCAAGCTGCTGCATATTGGGGCCCTACGGGCTACCCTCTACACACAGGTAAACTAGGGCATGGAAAGGCCACGATGGAAATTTTCCGGAGCAGTCACATATTTGAGAGGCATCTCTTTCTAGGGGCACAATAAGAAACAGAAAACGCATGATGTGGGGAGGTGCTGAGAAGCACCTCCCCACAATATGCATTGAGGGCTACATATTAATTATTATGAATATGCATTGAGAGCTACATATTAATTATTATTAATGTGCATTGAGGGCTGCATATTCCTGGCATTATGCAATGCCACCTCCCGCAGACTGGGGCCAAAAAAAGAGGCCTTCCTCATCTGCAGTTTTGAAGCTGCTTATACAGAAGTCACATGCTGAGTAAGTAGCATGCCAAGGAAAAGCCCCAAGCTTGAACTCCCAGCCCCAAATCTAGCTACTAACTTAGACTGACTCCTTCCCTCGGCATCTCTAAGCTCCTGCTAAGGCTAGTTCCAGCGCTCATACTTACTGCACAGCCGTCGATGGCAGCTCTTATGTAAGGGTTGTTGTCGTAGGACATCTCCTCGTCGTTGGAGCCCAGGAAGCGGATGGCTTTGTCGTAGCTGCCGGTGGTGGCATCGTGCCATGCCACGGACTGGTAGCAATTGTAGGTGACGTTCTGATGGGCCGAGGCACTCAAGAGCCTCAGGAAAGTCATCTGCACCACTCCGATGGGATTGCCGTCCGAATCCACATAGGAAAGCTGAGATAAAGGGGAAATATGGAAGGGGAAAACTAGGCAGTGAGGTGACACATGCACATTTGGGGAGCTCAGATACTCAGGGCAGCAGTGACCCTTTGAAAAGGCTTTGTGGAAGAGCTGACGACCTCATCGCTTGCATCACTGCATTAACCAGCATCTGTATACTTCCTATCCATTACTACCATAGGACCAGCTTTCTGACTCCAAGGTGCTTCAGTGCCAGAAGAGATCCCTTAGGAAGGTCCTGGAGTCTCCTCGGCTGGAAGTTTTTAATTGCACTTTAGGCAAACATTTGTCTGGATAGTTTAGTTGGGGACGTTCCTGCCATGAGCAGGACTAGGGGACTTCCTGAGCTACCTTTCAGACTTATTATTATAAATCTACCACCGTTTTCTCCATGGACACACAGCATTGCACTGTAGTTCCCAGCACTGGCTTCTAGCACAAATCAAGGCCCACTGTGTCCCTCTGCTGCTTGGATCTCATTTCATCCAAGAGAATAAGACTGCGGCACCAGTGGCCACACTGACTGCATTACCAGTATTGCCAACGCTCATGATTTTAAAGTCTGCTCTTCGGGAAGGCGAAAAACTTAGCTTGTTCTTGTATATATGACTGATATATCACATAAAAGAAAGAGCTAAGTTTTTCACTTTGCCAACTCTCATGATTTTTGCATCGTTCTTAAAGTCTACACTTTGGGAATGTGGGAAAAAAAAACGTAGCTCTTTCTTTTATATATATTTAATATATAATATAAAAGAAAGAGCTAAGTTTTTCACACTCCCGAAGCGTAGACTTTAAGAACAACGCCAAAAATCATGAGTGTTGGCCACAATGAATCATTACGAAATGCCATTTGCTCTTGCTGTCTGGACATGAAAATCGCCGGCATCTGAAAGCAGCACAATGTGGAGCACTAAGGGGGAACAACAGAGAATAAGCACGGCTATGTGAGAGCAGATACAATTCCCAAGGGGAGCTAGGACTGGACCCAGGGAGGAGAAGGAAGAAGGGGGAAGCAGAGGTTACTTATGGGGGAGGGAGAGACAGGCCACAGAGGAGGGAGGTCCAGATTGACACGGCTGACGTCCAAGGGGCCTACACACAAGCAAAGCCACTGAGTGTGCAGGAGAAGTCACACCCAGTTAAGGAGACCATATATTTGCAATTTTATATCCTCATGCTGTGTGCCATAAAACATACATCAATGCATTCATCTCTTTTACACTGCTGCTCCAGTCTACATAGTAGGGTATAAAAACACTTTTCCCTTCTGCTTTTGGTGCATTATATATAGGGATATATTTAGCAATACCGAGTTTTGAGAAATCCTCTACGGCAGCCTAGAAATGGGACCCTTTGATAGCTCTGAAAGAAATCACACTCCTAAAAAGCTTTTCAAGCTGCAGTGGGGACCTCGTCCAGTATGTGATCAAATGCCAAGTGAGCAAAGGCACAATACACCTGGGTTCAATGTGTTTTTCAACTAATTATACATAGATGAGATCTACTGTCATGGTCAGGCTAAGAGAGCTGACATTTATAAATCTGATCTATCGACAGCTGAATCCTTTTGAAATAACCCGGAGAAAAAATTTAGATGCACAAACGATGCTGTATGCTTTGAGGCACCATAAAACGTCAAGCCAAGGTGCCAGCTGCAAATGGGTGGAGGGGGGGAGATTCAACACCAGACAATAAAATCAGGACTCAAAGGTAATAATAAAAATATATATACCAACCGGTTGTCAGGATACCAATGCGCCGTCCTCCTGAGAGTTAAATACGACTGAACATAAGAAAGCTGCACATGCCAGATGAAGAAATAGGAGAGAACCACCAGGACACAGAAGAAGAGGAACACAAGTGCCAAATGTCCAGCACGTGTTCAGTGACCCACAGTGCTACTGATATGTATCCTGCACTTCTGCTAGCTCTATTTTAGCCAGGTTTGGCACCGGAGGCCCATGTCCCATTGAAGCAGACACAGCTGCAGTTCCTTATATATACTTATTTATTCATTCCGTATTTTTATGCAAGGGTCCAACCCTGCTGCTCTTAAACCAACATCAACAGGACCCATCCCATTGCGCTGTACTGGGATTGCTCATGCATGTGCAGTTTAGTCGACTCAACCCTTCCCTTACTTCTGCACTATAATTACAGCTCTAAAGGGATGCCATATGGCCACGACTGCCCATAGAGCTGAATGGGTGTAAAGCCTCATTAGCTCTAATGGGCCTGACACACATACATGTGCTGGAGAACTGACCCCAGAAGAAAAGATTTGTGATGCTTATCCTTCCTGATGGAGATTACCCCGTCCATCATCAGAAAGCGGTGAGAAATGAACTGTAATCTGCTGGTACGTCGTTAATATTGACCAGTGGGTTAGTGACAATGAGGTTAAAATGTCACTTAAGACAGTTTTTCTCTTCTACACAATTTGCATTAATGTTAGTCTTTTATTTTTTTTGGTCTGCACTGATGTGGGAAATGTCCCATTCCCAGCTAGGAAAGCATGTTATCATGGCCTTTGGATGAAGCCCATTCTGCCTAGTAGGTTTGAGATGGGCAGGTAGGCTCCCTGGGAGTTTCACCATTGCTTTTAACAGAAGCAGGATTGGACCCTGGTATGAGAATCATCTTGGTTGAGCTGGGTCAGGATTGCAACCAACTTCAATTAAAAAAGCATTAACATTTCATACTACTTCCCAATACCACTGTTCTAGCCCCCTCAATATAAAGCTCTGCTCTTAAAACCAATGCACTGCTTGTATGGGTCATATATGAACTGTGACCCCTAACCCCCCCTTTCAAAATATCTTCTATGTGCTGGTGATTATTGTCAAAAGATAATGCAAGATAGGCACATAACAAGAAAGGGAGAAAGAATAAACAAAAGGCTCCAAGTAGCTTTGAAGTTCTGTTTTCTTTTTTTTTTTAACTAGCGCCGTAAAATTCAGGGCTGGCCATTCAGCCCTCCAAATGACTGCCACATAGGCAACAGATAGGAAAAAAAAATAGAAAAGGGCTGAGTATATTAGATACTGCTATTAATTAATGGAGTGCTCTGTGGTTAAGCTGTGAGAATTATCACCTCTAGAGGCTGAAGTGTTGGCTTTTAGCACCTATTGTATGAACTAATAAGCCACAGCCCCACTGCTTGGAGGAGCAGTTGTGGAAGCCATTCAGTGCTTAGTGACAGGGCAAGTGGCTTGAGAAAGGAACTGGGTGGTGCCTTTATTTACTGCTTGGCTTTTAACGTGGAAGTTGGAGGTTTACTGCAGGAAAGCCCTGCAGAGGACGTTCCCGGAGGCCTGCAGAGCCGGAGGAGGCTGGTAGGGTGGCAGGCAGGCAGGAAGATGATGTGAAACACATCACAGTGGGCAGCTCCTCTCCTGGTTGCGCTGCTGGACCTCCACATACTTTTGTGGGATGGGAGAGCTCACTCATCGCATATTCTTTTCTTCCTTAATCCTGCCGATTTTGACCGACCTCCTTATTTACTTCTCACTAATCCTCCCGGACTTCAGACTCAGCCAGGAGTTCTTCATTGTTTGCAGGCCCCATTCGTGCTAATCACCCCGTGTATTGAAACCCACAAAGTAGGCGTCTGCACCTTGAGACACTGTTCTTTATTTCCAAACAACGTGGTCTTTCCGTTTTGCAGGCAGTGCAGCAAACCTCCGTGCCCGTCAGGCATACATTTTAAATGCCTGTTCTTACACTGTTCACATTCTTCTTCTTTAAATTCCTCATTTGCTATTTCTGTTTTGGTATCTGTTTGACCTCAGGATATTCCTCTTCTTTTTTTGTCCATTTTTAATCACAACTAAAGCCAAGATCCAGCCCATTCAGGGTCAGAGAGCATGGGTGTGGTATGAAGTTGCCCTTTTTGGACTCCATTTCTCCCAAGTGAACGGAGGTAGTGTGGGAGATCGGATACTTCTGTTAGGAGAGTGTATCGAAGACTACACATACACAGATTCATGTACCAAACAATAGAAAACTGAAGGATCTCACACAGTGGCCTACTAGCCGACTTACTAGTCCGTTCCTACCTTGGGTGCTTTCTTTATTAGAGTTGATTGAAATGCAGATAATAACACACTGAATTTTTTGATGAAAAAGTCTTATTTCTCCCTAGAAAAAGTTGAACCGACCCGAAGTTTGTCTGACCCATTCTTGCATTCCTATAGCTTTGATTATATCTCATCATCAAAGAGAGATTAGGATATCTCTCTTAGCCTAATCATAAGCACATAGGCTGGAATTCAGAACAGTGTCCCGGCTCCTAGGGTTAACTTCATACGAAAGTAACCACCAGGACCTTTTCAGGGTGTCCCTACACCGTAGTCAACAGCGTAGCATACAGATACCCACGCTGACTCTGAACAAGGCTTGGTCCCAGGAGCAGCCCAACTGTGTCTTGGCAGGGCCTAATTTAATCCGTTGCAGTATGCAAGGCAGACATACCCTCAGAGGCGCTGATCCAGCAAAGTATCCACAGCATGTGGCGGCTAGGCACATGGATAGCAAAGGAGACGACTTGCAAGTCTGATGCAAGGTGCTTGCTGCCCAGGCAAGGTGTTTACTGCCCTTACTTGAACCAAGGTTTTTCTCCCTCAAAGAGGATTATATAAATGCACCTCCAACTTTTCATGTTTGGTTGGCATTCCACCTTAAAGTCTTTTTTTTGCATGTCCTAAGATGGTTATTAGTCATGCAGAGTGCGATAAGTTTGGCCATAACCAAAGCGGACGTGGGGGACGTGCTCTGACTCAGACTGGTAGGCCAAGGTTAGCCACTTACCAAGGAACCCCGCTTGTATTGACTATACCATGTAGAAGGCTGCTCTTTGGGCCAACGAGCCATTTTACTCTGTAAAATATGAGACGGGTTAAAGAAAAACTGAAAGTGGTGAGATGCTTCTTACCAGTTTACCGCGCTTGAATTCACTGAACCAGGAGCCTGGGTTTTCCTTTGGCCAAGAAGTAATTCTAGCCTAAATTGTGGGAAGTGGGATGGAAAGGAAGAGACAGAGAGGGAAGGAAAAAAAAGGAAAAAAAAAAAAGAAAAATAGAAATTACATTCAGTTGCAGATCCTGCGTCTCTATGTCCAACTTTCTTTAAAAAAACCCATATTTTCTTACGCTTTATAAACTGGCAATAAAAAAACCTGAGCTCTACAGTGCTAGTGACTTCTAAATCAAAATGTTAACTGCCTGACATTGGGGTCAGGACATTGTGCCATCGTGCATGCATAGAGAGCTGCCTGGGCACCAGCTTTCATTGCTAAGGGGTTAATGGGCTGTAGCCTTGAGATATTTGCCAATGCAAAACTGGCAGTACATTCTGTTGGCATAAAGGCGGGGAAAAAGAGTATTGATGGTTAATGATCTATTTATCTACACGGGGATTGTGAAGGGAAAAATGATTCTGAGAGTGGAGAAGCCAGTCCAATGTTAAATCCAGATGTTGCAGGCTCAGGACAATTAAGGAGAGCTGAATTACTCCTCCTAGGTTTGAGCACCAGTAAGCCACAGCACATGGAAGGTACCGTCCTTGGTAGATAATGAACTGGAATACATGATCAAGTCCCAACCAGAGCATCTATAATGATCCAGAGTGTGAGCTTGACTAAGTGAGTTGCTAAAGTATCTTCACTTTTCAGCTGTGCATTTGAATAGTCTCTCTTCTCAATTAGAAACCGAGCTTTGTGCAGGAAGGGGAGGGAGAAGGGCTGCAGTCCATTTTATGTTCTCTTACTTTTCTCCAAGCTCCCTCTCTGTCGCTGTTAATCTCTCCAAGCACAATGTCTGAACTATATGGAGATGCCTTTGTATTATTCTTGCCTCTTCAGCATGAGAAACAAAGACTTTCTGCCATGCTGAGGCTCAACAAAAGTGGGATACTTTTAAGCCCTTTGCAGCTGCCAACAATACATCCTTCACAAAGAGCTGCACAAGCAATTTTAATAAGGAAGATACTCATGTTATTCTATGGGGAAAACATTAGACTGCACCCCTCTCAAACAGGCCAATTTTGCACAAATGTAAAGAATTAGCTTTTGAGCTGCACCAGTGGTAGGAGAATCACTCCCACTGCGAATACTAGCGTAACAATATAGACGTACAGTGTTGTTATTTGAAAGACTTACATTACTAAAAACCATATCCTGATTCTGAGAGTTTAATAATCATAATCATAGGAGAACAATGGCTGTCCAACACTGAAGAGAAAGAAGTATATCTTTCCTTTAAACAACCCCTCCAAAAACTTTAGGAAACGGTACAAGGCCTATTACATGTCCCAAGCTGATGCATGTTTCTTGTGGCTGAAATACTCTCAGCAAGAGAACAGCTTATAGCAGAGCCTGTGAGAGCAGGGGCTGTCTTGAATGCCCCCCGATGCAGCTATTGCAGGCAAAGACCCCCTTGACGGTTCAGAGAGGGGCTCTGGATGCCATCTCAAGAGCCCTTATACTCTCCCCGGGTGGGGAGCATGTTCCCATTTCAAGATCTGGTTTCAATGCTCAGGGGAGATAAACTCCAGAAAATAAAATGGAAAAAATATGGGGCAGCAAAGGGCACCGCCTACATGGCAAACTGACCATGCCTGCAGCTGTACCCTCAAGCAGACCATGCTGTCTGGCATATGCTGCCTCCTGAGCTAGAAGGAGCATAGCTACATCTGCATGATGCTTTGGGTGGGTCAGTTAGTACTGCTGAGTGACTGCCAACTAGCTCTCCTCTGTGTTGGCTGGCAAAACCTTGGTTGTAATCGCTTCCAGTTTAGGAGACAGCCACAGCAACGTAGCAGGTTTCAGGGCGCCACTGAAATGCTACCTGTGTACTGTGAAGATATAACTCAAGTGTTTGTGTTGAAAGACACTTAGCGCACATGTCACCATCACCCGGAAGACACTTAGCACGCTTGTCACCATCACCCGAAAGTTACTGGCTGTCAAAACTAGTGTGTTAGTGCTGACAGTTATTTATAGCAGGATCCTTGAAATTATGAGGCTGAAAAAGCAGAAGACATCATTGCACAGGAAATAAATGGACTCCGATTCAGTCTGCATGGCAGAAGAATGCCAAGAATGCTGCAAATTCTAGTTACAAAAGTTTGGAAAACCCAATGGAAACACCAGGCAAAATGACAGAGGATCAACATTTCTCCGCCCTGAAGACTTGGTAAAAAGTAGAAGAAGAATCAGCAGGACAAAACCATCCGAGTAGCAGCTACCGCTGCATGAGGGATAAAAAGAGCTGGTTAAATAAACCTCATGATGAACTGCAGTGGATACACCGATGCAAGCTTTTGCCTTTATAAAGCAAAGCAAGAAATTAAAGTTTCGGCATTTATCATGCTTGAAGAAGCATCAACAGCTTGCCCTAAGACACAATTTAAAAAGCACTTATTCATTCGGTGAAATGTCCTCAGTAAACAAATTCCATATTATTTTAGAAACTAATCTTGAATCCGACATTAAGTAAAAAGCATCGGATCTCTAACCACAGCTTCCACTCGACTTCCGGCTGATCAAACTGACTAGCTATGAACATTCACATTAGGAAACAAGCTTATTTCTACCTTCAGAGGGAAAAATATAGTTTGTGTGAACTTACTCCTTCAGATTTCTTATCGGGGAAGATACAGGTCTCTCCACCAGCTGTGAAATTACAGTACACTTTGAAAGAGTCCCTGGAACATCCTTGGTTAGGATCAACCCAGTATTCACCTAGAAAGAGGTGAAGAAAGAGAATGGAAAAAGGAATGAAACCTATAAAGCAAGAAAACATGGGAGCTCCCACCATGCGGACAACAGCAAACCCACACGTTTGCATCTGGAAATAAAGTTTTGGTGCATGAATGTATAGGTAATAAATGTCCCTTCTCATATACTCACGCAGTCCCATGGATAAGAAAGCTCAAGGACCAATATACAAATGGCATAATGTGATATAATGACATCATTATAAATTCAGAAATGGAGCAGTGCTGTGATGACCCTGTTGTAACTGGGGAAATTCATTAATGTTTCATTAATCCTAACACTTGTTAATAGACGCTGGAGCCAGGGGCAGTGACAGTGTCAACACGGCTCCAGTGATCAGACCGGGCTTTGCAGCTGAACCAGGGCCCCTACACATCCGTGTGTATTCATTATGGCATGTACAATTATATACACACGCACAGTACTTAATCCCCAAATTTGCACTAGAGTTGGTATTTCGTTCCTCATGGAAACCATTTTTTTATTGGAACGGGGGTTTCAACTAAAACCATTTTTTGGTGGAAAACCTCCACTGCAGAAAATCTCACTCTTCCATCACAAAACCAAACACCAGAAAAATTGGTTTTTCCCTAAACTGTTATTTTGATTCAAAATCACATGGCCCTGCCTTTTGGAAGGTGCAGTTTGAGCGCCTTATAACACAGACATACTTCTCCATGGTGCAGGCTCACTGGCCAGACTGGATTTCCCAGTATTTACCATTAACGGACTCTTTTTGGGAGTGCACTCCTACTCTTCACTTGTTGGGTTTTTTTTCATCGGTGTCTTCCAAAGGGGAAAAAATTCCTCCCGGCCCATTAGATAATGCAGATTTACAATTTGCACCATGCTTTCTTTCTCCGCACCCGCACAACCCCAGGACATACCATCCGGGAAGTCAGGGTGACATAGCTGCAAGTCCTTGCAGGTCCGAGCTGGGTTATGCTGAGTGCCCAGAGGATGCTTCATTTGCTCTATTTCCAGTTTCAAAGAATTCAAGGAGCCGAAGATTTCCTCCATGCCATCTGCGTAATCCATGTAGTTGTCAGCATTTCCATCATCAACCAGCTGGCTGGCATCAATGTTTCGCCTGGTCCTCTTGGAGGACTGGATAGGCAGTGGCTGGATGACCTCCCCAGGAGGGCCCTTGGGAGTGAGGAAAGAATTTGTAAACACGAGCTTCATGCGGAAAGCAGGGAAAAAAGAGAAGAGAAAGCCAAGAAAAGCATCACATGGGAAACCTCACAGATCTGTTGGGTTACTGATGAGAAACCTTCAGTCCCCGTTGAATTTTACAGGGCTCAAACTGTCAAGAGAGACTCTGAGCATAAAATGTAGATTGGTGGAAAGTTTTTTGGCCATCAGATCATTTTAAGGGTCTGCATTTCGGGTGAAAGTCTTCCAAGAAAAGCTCCTTCATCTTCTTCCTCTCTTTGAATGTCTCTCTTTGTTTTCCTTTCTTTCCTACCTCCTTCTCCGGCATTTTGAAAGCACTTACACTTCTGTGGCATGTACTCCTTGCACGAGGGGTCTTTAATCAAGAAATATTGTGTTCCCCAGAAGGGTGGGAAGCGTCACCCAGAAACCCCACGTGTCCTTTAACTCTTCAGAAGGACCAGTTATACTTACAGGAGGTCCAGGGGGCCCTGGAAGACCAGATTCACCCTTCGGCCCTGTTGGACCCTGGGTAGAAACACACAAAGGAGTGCATGTGAGTCTCGGTAAATACCCTCCACCGTTTATTTTAAATCCTTAATATTCTCGTCTCTCAAATTCCTCTCTGCCCTGGAGCCATCTGTCTGCCCTCCGCTACAGCAAAGAAACGTGGTTCTGATCAGAGCGGTGTCACCATTTTTTAATCAAAAAACTTTTCATGAAAAATAGCTTTTTTGGCCCTCCCCCCCCCAAAAAAGCTATTTTTGGTAGAAAAGGTTTGTTTCGATAGGATTTTTTCTGTTATTTTGTTAGAAAACAGTAAAAGAGTTTGGCTCAACATTCAAAAAGCTTGGTTACGTTTGATGTAAAATGTTGAGGGTTTGTTTCCCCCCCTAAAACACGACAAATTTAAATGAAAGGTTTTTTTAGAAATTGAAAAAAAGGATCTGTATGCTCATGGGAAACAATGCACGTAATATGTGGAAAATACAGATAAGCACACGTTCTGGAAATGTTTCCCCATGAACATTTATTGGCATTTTTCAAGTAGCAACAGCTCCGACTTCACAGGCAGGAACCTGTACTAGGATTCAGCTACTTAACTGGCATGTTTTCCACCCCGTCTCTTTACTGTGTTACACTTGTTAGTACACCACCTGCTAGTCTCCCTTCTCCGTTTCACAGTTTATCTGCAAGGTCACCCTTTTCACAGGAAGAGCTTTCTCCTAGCGCTGTGCACTCTGTCCCCTCCTCTGATCTCCTCAAAAGTGATGTTTCATAAAGTATAAAAACTGTATCACAGAGATGTTTCCAATTATTTCTGTTTTTTATTTTAGACAGCCTGAAATGACTGCATTTGCTCAAGTCAGGTTTAGCAAATTGCCTTGACTCGACCAATTTGTAATAGTGGCAGTTCATTAAGCAGCTAACAATTCTTTGGCTTTTTAGCTTTGCAGCATCCATACTTACTGATGACCCTTTAGCACCCTTGGGACCAGGGGGACCCTGTATGAAAGAAAAAAAAATACAGGCAGTTAAGTGCCTTTATTAGTAGGATTAGGCACCAAATAAAGATCTTTTCATATTCATTTTTTTTCCCTATGAATTCACTGGAGTTGCATTTTGTTTTCACTTTTCAGGAACATTTGCGTAATGTGCTTTTGCTTGCTGAATCCTTTCATTGAATGAAAGCCTCCAGGATGCTTGGATGATTGCTTCCAGAAAGCTGATGTTCAGTCTTCATAGGTATTGGTGATGTTGTTGCACAAGCATCACATGAACTTGTGTAAATCACTTGGTGCTGATCCAGGCCAGGTACAGAACCCCCAACTATGTGATTCATCCAAAACTTTATAACTAAACAGTCAAAGCCCCATCTTTAAATAAATGCCGCTGATCAACGTACAGAGTACACCCATCCCAAATGTGTTTGTGGAATAAATGTGAATAATAAACATGAGGAAAATCAGTAGGCAAAAACAGTGGGAGGGGAGAACCAGTTTCACAGGATCAATTTTTCAGGGGGTGCATCTACAAATTCATTAATGCACGGTTGTTACTACGCATTAAGTTTAGCACTTGGATAACCAAGTACTAAATCAATGTGCAGGAACTGGTGCTACTGCACAGTAGGGCCAGCACATGGGTTTTTACAGATGCTAACCATGCAGTAGCCTAATGCTCCTGCACAGCAGCATATTAGCACAGGTTTTGTTCAGCATCAGCACGCTACTGCACAGTGCTACTACGCTACTGCACACTTAGCGTCTGGTGTAGACGCACCCAGGGTGAATTATTTGCTCAGGCAGCCTGATCGTACCATCCATTTGTTTCTTTGCCAAGCCAACAAACCCTCACACTTGTCTTACCAAAAGCAGACTGAGCTGTGCTCTGCTTTTACTATGTTATCAGCTAATCAATGAGCCTCGTCTCTTCCTACTGGTAGTTCTCCAAACTGAAAGTCTCTAATGGGCTAAAATGTAAAATGCTCACTCATGTTGGCAAACGTTTCCTCACATATCATGGGCCATGAATATTAACCAAACCACTCACAGAATAAAATAATGCTCGTTGCAGGTACAGCTTACTCTGAATTAGCCCTCAGGAAGCAGAAAGACATGAGCACTTCAAAAATGTGGGTGATGCTCATCTTCCCTTGGAATTATATTCGACAAGTTAGCCTAGGCTAGACACAATGGGTCATTTCCCCTAAAACCTTACTAAATGGTGTTGGGAGGGTGAGTTAACTATCGACACTTATTAGCTTCAAGTGTCTTTCTAGGACTTTTATGCCTCTTGATGACCGTCTACAATTTATTCTTAATAATACACAGCACCCCTAAACTTATTCCTTTTGGCCCATTTCACTCACAAACTAACTAATTTGAACAGCTTCTCAGGGAGAGACGCATTGCACAATTGTCCAGTTCTGTGGAAGATGAGTTGCAAAGAAATCAAGTGATTTGTCAAAGGTCACACAACACATCTGTGGCAAAGGCAGGAAGTAAAACCTGCCGGCATAACTCACAGCCCGTTGCTTTTGCTGCTTGACTTCAGGACTTGTATTCAGTGACTTACCGGTAATCCTGGCGGACCTGGAGGTCCAATTGGGCCGGAAGGCCCGGTGATACCCTAAGAAAGAAATGCAAAATACAATTTATTTTAATGAATTCACAGTGTATATTTAAAGTATACACCTTGGGCTCAGATTTCCAATTTGCCTGCTTGATTAGCGTGCTCTGCTCCAAAGTTGGAATGAAAATTGGCATGCTGGTATGTAAAATGAGCACATACATGGCCAAGTGAAAAGGACAGCACTTATAGCTGTGGCTGGATGATTTCTGGTTGGCTTCTGGACTTTAAAACCTCAATCCCCACAGCAATGTTCTGGGATTACCATCCCTCTGCATCTCCTCAATCTTAATCCATAGCAAACCCCAAGCCCGCCCATCGTCCATCTTCCAGAATGGCTCATTATGGAGCAAGGCTCTGTTCCTGAAAACTTACCCAACACGGGTGCAAAAGTCCCTCAGCCCAAATCAGCTTATAGAAGAACCTGCTTATTTAAAAGGATCCCCTCCTTTTCCAGTTTCATTTGTTTCCATGATGGACGGGCCAGACCTGCCATGCTCCCGCACCTTGCAGAGCCCCGGGGCTCAGAGTCCCTTCAGAAAGGTCAGGTCGCGCCGCTCAGCTCAGACTCAGTTATGGACTGGACTGAAACTTCCCTCAAGTACCCGCCCGCCCTTGTGATTTGGTGGATACGTGGCACCTATTTCTCACCATAAAGCTTATGACCCTGAGCCCGGCTGAGATGTAAGCTCAGACTCAAGAAGGCCATCTCTGTTGTTAAACCACCTCATCAAAGGAATGATCTGAACCTTTCGGGCTGGCACGGAAGATTGGCATCGTTCAAAAGCACGGTTATTAAAAGTTTTATACGTGGCTCCAAAGCTTTCCTAGAAACACCCACCTGTTCTCCTTTGGGTCCTGCCGAACCCTGGGGTCCTGGGAGACCTCTGTCACCCTTTTCTCCTTGCTCACCAGGGGGCCCAATAAGACCAATCAGACCTGGATGACCCTAGAGAAAATAAATAGTAGAAGTGTCTTCAGATCCCCTCTTTCGAGCACTCCCATTAAAGCCACTTGTCAGCAATAAACATAAGAACCAAAACGGGGTGAAAGGAAGGTGCTTTTACTCATGTCTGCACAGCCCACAATTCCCAGTGCAAAAGGAAATGCTGCAAGCGTGGCAATATTGTCATCTAGCAGTGACTCTTCCTTTTTTGCATTGACACATGTTATCTTAATTTCTGCAGATAAGGTTCAGAGCTATTACCTCAAGCAAGGCAGGTGTCGATGTAGTTGCTAGAACCTTTTTTTCACGGCTTGCTAAGCGGCTGTGCAACACAGCTGTGCTAACTAAAGCTTGAACTGGGGCAAAAGAGGCACCTTGGATTCAAACTGCACATGGGGGATTACAAACAGATCGATGTATGTTTCTTCATGGTCAATGAATCCAGCTGATAACACATATCCCAAAATGAGCTCCCGGGGTATTTCTTATGAGCAATGCCTTATGAGTTCCTAATCCCTGTTCTCTGTGCAATGCTACCAGGTCCTCACCAATCCCCTTTTCTGTTATTAGGGCATTTCCAGCACCCAGACAAGTCAACGTGAAATCCTACTGTGGCCTATGCATAAAGGGTGAAATTCAGTCCTGTGCAGGGGGATGGCCTCCGGCTTATTATGCACCATTTCAGTCCCACCGAAGACATCACAGTGAGACTTCAACTGGACTTAAGTAGTGCAGAAACCTTGGTCACGGGGATTTTCACTCCAAAAGCTGCACCATTCGCGAACAACTCGGTGTCTTGACCACTGCCGTACTACCGAGGTCTGTTACCTACTGTCTTGACAAACAGGGTCCCAGAATTTGAAACGAATGGCATCTGAGCTGTGAGCTCACCTTTTCACCCTTAGGCCCTGAATCTCCTTTCAGACCAGGTAAACCAGGTGGGCCCTTTGGGGGGGGAAAAAAAAGGAAAAAAAAACATTGAGATAAAAATAACGAACACCAGATGCAAGTTTTCTGCAAAAGTCTTGAATGATCTGGACATACCAGTGGGCCTGGGGGACCATCAGGACCCGGAGCACCTGGAAGACCTTGTTCACCCTGTAAAACAATGCAATCAAACAGTACAATGTAAAAATTATACAATCCTCTCAGGTTCGGCATTCAGAATAAACACACTCCAGAGCTCAGTAGCTTGGGCCCATTGCAGAGGAGGAAGATTCATTCCCTATCTGTTATTAAAACTTAGACACATATTACATGATCTGACCTGAAAAATTGCTGAATTGTAACTGCTCGAGGGTCGCATGTGCAATCCGGGCCTGCTGTACGCCTTTCTAGCAACTTCAAGGAGCTACGGATTGTGCTTTCTGAATTTAAGTAAAATAACATGAAACAACGCCTGGTCTTGAAGATCCTGCCTTATTCTTGACTAAGCTGCCAGGAGGGTTTTGTCTGAGTGCTGCACAGAAATCAAAGTCAAGGATTTGAGCGACTAAGTCTTGACACTGCTTCTGAAAATAGGACGTAGGAGTTTCTAAAGCCATCAATACAAATACAATTAAATGAAAGCAGACTGCTTCCCAGAAACAATAAACACTGACTGGAGCCAGCTTTCCCATCCCACAGCCAGGCAAAAGGTCTAGAGAAGAAAAGGCCTTCTCATGCTTGCAAGGCTGGCAGACTTGGACTACGCCACATTAACAGAGGGGAAATGGGTTTTAGCCGTGACTCATCTACCCAAGTCACCGACCACCGGATGTCAAAGCACTTCAAAGTAAGGACTGTCAGGTTTTGTGGCCCAGCCAGAATGGTGCATGGAATAGAAGTCATCCTAATAGAGGCTTAAGTCTAAGCTGTGGTCATTTTTCTTATTCAGAAGCTTTCAGGAGCTCTTTTCAGTCTGGGAATAACTCACCACCGGGCCAGGAATTCCTCGAAGGCCGTCAGGGCCAGGCTTCCCCGGCGCTCCTTGAGGGCCAACTGGCCCCGTCTTCCCAGGGGGTCCTTCCAAACCAGCTTCACCCTGAGGACAAGAGACAAAGCAATGTAGCATTCGACAGGTCACCAATTTATTTTCCAACCAGTCTAATGACAGCTAAATGGACCCCATGTCATGGAGGAACTCCCTCCCTATGGACTTTTTAAAGACATATTTCCACTAGCTGCTCTCCGTGCTTTGCTTTGTGCACCCACTGAATGTCACACCTCAAAATGCCAGTATTTTTACCCTTTTCTGCTGGTTTGCTGACCCACATGAGACATATGCATACCCATTGTTTTGTTCTGGGTTGGTCAATGCCTGTTACAGCTGGGTTTCGATTCACGGCAGAAGCTCTTGGATGCTACCAAAGCGCAGTTAAAATCATACGGCCGTAACTTGCAGCACCGTTTGGAAAACTGCTGTAAATCTGGCTCTGCATTGTTATTGAACGATCCTTGTCATGTTTGCTTTATGATATTATACAACCCTGCATGCACAGTGCTATCTCCAGAACAGTCAACTTCAGCGCATGGACCTTCTGATACCCCAAACCCCACATTCTCTGACCTTTTGCAAAGTCACAATTATCTCAGTGGAGTTTGTTAAATGATGAAACAAGCATTTAAAAGAGAAGTGAATATAAAAATCTGCATCCAAGGCTCATAGCCCCATATTTTAACTTTGTCATTGGTTGAAACAAAGTGAATTTGACATCCTGGTCTTTTAACACTGGATTGTATGAGGTGTGCTGAACACTAGACTGTGGAGGGCATCACTAGGGACCTTGCTCAAACAAGTTCACCCCGTACCTTAGCTCCTTTCTCTCCCTGTCTTCCTTCAGGACCTGCTGGGCCAGGTGGACCCTATGGAGAACACGAAGCAGAAGCATTACAATGTTAGTCCTCAAGTAACCTAAAGTATCTGCGGTGGGGGGTACATAGAGAAAAATAGTACCTTGATATCAACTTGCAAATGAATTAAAAAAAATAACTCCTTTATAAATTAGTGCTCTTCACCCCTATCCCAGTTTGGCAAGAAATACTGAATACAGGAAAGGTGAGGCAAATATTTTCTCACTTTTTTGGGGGGAACCAAAGATCTGAAAGGCCTTGCAGATGAGTGGGCATCTTCTTGCTGATCTTCATGGGCTTTTGATGGGGTCCTAAACTTCTTACAACAGTGCCAACAACCTATTGCATTTCAATGGGCAATGAGCAGATTTACTTCATCTCTTAGTAATTCTAAGGGATAACTGAGGACTGGAGCTTTATCCATCACTGACACAACACAACTGGCTTTTTCAGCATTTGCACTACATGAGGATTGAGCTATGACACCCTATACATAACCGTGACAATATTATAAGGTTCATGTTTTATCAGATTGACAAATGTAGCTATAGAAAGCAGGTGATCCCATTTGATCAGAACTTAAAAAAAATAATTGCTTGGGTAAGGCCTGTTGGAATTAAAAGGAAAATAACAATCCCTACTTCATGCACCTAACCAAAGTGTACATATATGTCCAAAGATTAGCTTACCCTTTTCCCAGGTGGACCAGATGGGCCAGGTTCTCCAGTAGGACCAGGAGATCCCTAGGTTTCATGTGGAAAAAATACAATCCATGACATGCCAAAGAAACACAGCAGATAAGTAGCATATAATCAGCCCGACTCCAGCCCGCATTAGCATTAGGAATAGAGGCATTGCACAAGTTCTGCTCACTCGTTAGAGATGAAGTTGGTATTTCCTTTCATCACCCCATTCCCATCATGCAGGCAAGGTAAGATACATTTCAAACATACTTAAGCGTTGACATTCATTCCTGAGGGCTGCAGTGCATTATTATAAGCAGAGGTAGCACAGGAGCTTAGCCTCCGCTGGAAGTTGATGGAAGCTGGGTTTATAGCTGCTGGTTGTCTCTCTGGAAATCTCCCCCTATATGTGTTCCTATATTTCTAGTAGCCTGGGCAAAGATTAGGCCTAGGAATTGAACCTGTGGCATCTGCTGCAAATGCATAATAGATCACGTTTATCTGAGTGTACTCACAGTCTGCCCAGGTTCACCATCATCACCTTTGTCACCTGTGGGACCATCTTGACCCTAGGAGAAGAAGCAAGGTTTATTTACTATGTGTTTCTCTTTTTCCTGTTCCAGGTAAAAGCAGTCCATCCTAACAGCATCACCAAGAGCAAAGGGCAAATGCAGTGAATGCACAGGCAACTCCGCTGTCTTTATAAGAGTGGGACTAAGTCATGCTACTTGAAAATTTTCACAGAAAATACAAACTCTTAGGCTAGGAAAAAACATTGCATTTGTTCCTGAATACATTGTGCCTGTGTTTGTCCCAGAACAGAAATATCCTGGGATAGGCATGTATACAAATTGGCCTTCTAATCAGGGCTTAGTGAGTGGTTGAATGCACTGCTCCTTTTCTGCCATGGAGGCAAGGATGCAATCCTGGGACCACCATTCAGATGCACTTTGCAACGTCCCAGGATAAACTGCTAGCACTTCTTATCCCATAAACCTTTTTAGGATTTATCCCAGGATAATGGGTGTAGATGTTTAAATAGCTGTACTTTGTCCTGGGATAAAATGCTTTATCTTGGGACAAATGTGACGTTTGTTTGTAGCTTTACTGACATAAGTATTTTTTCAAAGATTTGGAGGACAGCAAAACCTATGAATGCCATCATTGCCCAGTGTTATATGCATGTCAGAAAAACAGCATTGGTAGAAATTTCCATTCCTCCTTTTGCAAGAGAGGAAAAACCAATTCCAGCACTTCTGCTGGTGGTTATAGGACAAGACTTGGAAGTATTTCATAGGGTAACAGTAGAAGAAGCAAAAATCATTTCCATAAGATGGGTACTTACAGCTGGGCCAGGTTCTCCAGGAGGGCCAGGGTCACCAGGAAAACCAACCGGACCCTACAAAGGAAAAAGAAAGTTTTCCTAAGGTCAATTCTGCTACTGCAAAACAACACAAAATCATTAACCCGAACACAGAAATCGCCACTGTACACAGCCAAGTCTTGAGCCCCAAAGCTGAGATGTGCTTAAAGTTCAGATCCATGAAGCTCAATGGAAAATAAATCTTGAGATCTGATCAATGCAATCAATGCCAGCCTTGAGAAAAGCTCCTGAGAGTCAATGTTCAATGTTTGTTTCACTTCATTATGTTCAGAGGGCAGAGTCAAAGAAATTCTCCGCAATTTTAAGATGTTCAGACCTGGACGTTTCCATTTGGTTCACGATAGAGATGAAGCAGGGGTCATCTTTGCAATTTGGATTCGGACATGAACTCTTAACCAAGCGTGGGGAGGGGCTGCATTTGGAGGTTGAGTACTGGTTGCCAGCAGTAGCTTGCAATGTACAGGCAGGACACGATGAAACTCAGCTCTCAATTACAATTTAATTACTTCGAAGTAAATCAGCGCTGATCCAATGAAGCAAAAAGGCAACTCCGCTTAACACCAGCTGATGATCTCACCCTTTGGGCACAGTATATTTCACTCGGGGGCATCATACAACATGTAATCATTAGAGTGCATTGCCATTCTTCCCAGCCAATGTCTAGTGCATATTTCAATTGATCCCTGGGATAATATTCAGACAGTAGGCATCGACCAATAGCATGCTATTCCAAAGGCCCATCTGCTCAGACAGATGACTAACTCCCCCGCTTCCTTTATTATTTCATGCTTTCTTTGCTTATTATGGAGCAAATTTCTTCAGCCAATGAGATTAAAAATAATAAAAAAATCGGGCAAGAAAAATGCTGTTCAAAGTGGTGTAGTTCCACAGATTTCAGTGGAGCTTTGACAGTTTACATCAGCTAAGCATCTGGCTCTAGATGTACAAAGCCCACAACACAATCATGCTGTAAAGAAAACGGATCTCTAATAAACACGTTGTCCTACATAGTTATTCCCTGGGCAGGGGACCGCTCAATGTCTTATGCACTGCTCAAGTGTTAAAAATAAGTTGTATGGGCAAGGTCCTCATATCAAACCTGCAAGCAGAGACGAATTTCACCCGAATGTGAGAGGATTGGTTCATTTTGCATTAGCTTAACTACTATTAACTGCAGCTTTTTCTCACCATAATCACCAAAGGAATTAGTTTGCACCATTTGAAGGTATGGCTCATTTGACTTAAATCACCTAAAACTTCCGGAGCATCTTTTGCACGCAGCCACCCAAAAATAATCCTCTGCTTGGCAAGAGGAGGGCACTATTCTAACAAGACACATTACAGTACTTACAGGGCTACCTTTGGGACCGTCATCACCCGGTGGACCTTTGGGGCCAGGAGGACCTGCAGCACCAGAGGGGCCTGCTTCTCCCTTCTCACCTCTTTCTCCCTTAGGACCCTGTAAGGAAAAATGAGATATCTTTGTTATCCAGAGAACAGAAAAGCTGGCATTTGTGCATTTAATTTTATGCATTCTCCAAAGAGACTCTCTCCTCCAAATCCCTCAAAAGCATTTGATAGCACCTGTGTTGTTTTTACTATGGCATGGACAATGTATAGTAAAGAATGACAAGTTTTTATGTAACCATACTATAGCACGGCAATGCCAGCCTGCTGTAGGCTGCAGCATTTAGCAGTCTGCTCTGCCTCCTGAAGTCCGATGTCCTTCTTTCCAAAGCAGAAGACAGATTTCAGGCCCTGCAGCTCCCATCTACAGCCTTATATAACATTGGCACTTATTCTACAGAGCACCCTACTAAGCCTCCAGCTCCAGGCTATGATGAGTTCATGAACTGTTTTGGTAGGACTACATCTGCATTTTTCTTTAACATGCAAAAATGTTTTGTCCAGCTTTCCTGAGGGAGCCACTGCAAAACACATCATTCAAACACAGAAGGTCTGCTGGCCTGCTGAAGCAGTTCGGACATGTACAGTCCAATTCATGTTATGGAGATCCACGCCCCTATGGCTACCCTGACCCCGCAGATTCATTAAGCTGCAAATCCTGTTCCATTTTGGATAAAGTCAAAGTAGGCATCTATTTACAGACCACAACGTCTCACTTACCAGAGGGCCAACTTCTCCAGGAAGACCAGGCTCACCAGATTCACCGGGCTCCCCCTATGAATTGGGAAAAATATTGTGATTTTCTTACTATTGCTAGCACACAATGAAGTGTGTTCCTTTTTAGTTCAAAGCAGGCATTCACTTCCTGTAGTGTGGAAATTAAAGCTGGTCATAAAAATGAACAAAAGCTAACTTCTTGCAAACTTTTGGTTTGGAATTTTTTGACTAAAACATTCAAATAACTCAAGTTAAAATATCATGTGTAATCAATACCGTTCTTTTACTACATGGGCCTAAGCTCACCGAAGGCTAAGCTCAGAAAGATGCTGAGTGCTCTGGTGAGGTGCTAGCCACCTTCTGTTCCCACTGCTAGCAGAAGCGGAGGCTATTCAACTTCTCAATAATATGTTGAGCATAATTAAGAAGCAATCAAACACCAACATGTATGGGCAGCTGAATTTCCACTGCCTTTTCAAAGGAGGAAAAAAATATATTCATGGCAGGTAGAAGCTGCCTTCTGTAAAAGGCACCTACTTATTTGCACATCAAGTGCAAGCATCATGTCACTGACGGTGCAATCTTCCTCACTCAGCCTTGCCTGTCTCCATTAAGTGGCCCTATTAGCAGAAGCGTAGGTCAGTCTCAAGGACAATTATTCCCTTGGATATCTCAACGGGGCCAACAGAAACAGCAGCTGTCCTAGCAGTTAGTGGACACCTATTCACCTGATCTTCCCCACCAAAACTCATTTCACCGAGAGGGTCAGTCTTCAGATGGTAAGAGCATCCAACAAGGGACAAAGTTTTTCATCTTCCCTCCCCTTTCTAATTGATAACTGGTATCTTAATAGAGAACTTTGGCTTGTTAACAGAGTCCTTGGTAATGCTACTACCACGTGGCAATCCTGTTTCCATTGGAGTCATAGAAAACTTCCCTCTGACTCTAAGGAGAGCCCGATCAGACCTGCTCAATGTGCTTTACCTTTTCTCCCACGGCCCCAGGGTTTCCTATTCCACCAGGTGGACCTTGTGGACCATCAGCTCCTGGGGATCCGGAAGGACCTCTTGGCCCAGGTGGACCTGGCGGGCCCTATAAATAGGGGGAGACATATTTAGATAACAAGAAGGAAAAAAAAAAACCCCATGTGGACTAGATACCAAAGCTAGCAATGGAGTTAATGGGAGATCTAGGCATCACTCACCATTTGTCCAACATCACCCGTTTCTCCCTTCTCACCAGGTGGCCCAGGCAAGCCCTATAGGAACATAGTCAGAAGGGATATGTTCAATGGGAAACATCACAAGAGCAACCGAGTAACTCAAAACCCCATATACCCCATAGCACTGGGAATTACCTGCAAACCCACTGGGCCTGGGGGACCAGGGAAACCTCTTGGCCCTTCATCACCTTTCTGACCAAACAGGCCTTGTTGTCCTCTAGGACCTGGTTCACCATCAGCTCCCTAGAGAGACAGTTTAACATGATTTAAACAGAAATACATGTTCTATCCAGGGCCCCTATTCCCACCTCTCACTGCAGTCAGTGACCACAGGCTGGACCGATATTAAATATTATGTTTGTAATATTTTTCATGGGTAGCTTATAGGGAAAATATGGTAATTAATAATGGCAACAATACTCACAGCTGGACCTGGTTGACCAATCGGACCTTGAGGCCCTGTAGGACCTGGTGGACCCTGTTAAGAAACAAATGTTCAATATGTAATTTTATAGTTCCACCAATAATGCAAAATAACTATCTCCTGATTCCCCCCCACCCCAACAAATGACAAGGTTGCAAAATGGTCACAGAGTCTCACTAACACTACAGAGGCATAATTTCAGCTTCCTTCCTGACTTGTGCCAAAGACTGTCCACAACTCACCCAGCTGTAAGGGGGTGCCGGGTCAGTCAAGCGGAGAAGCCAAAGGCTAATGCTAGCCACATCACTCCCTTGACTGCCACCGCATACTGAAACTGGTGTAGCTTACCTGCCAAAGGTCAATGGGTCCCTATACTTGAGTGAACCTTTGCACAGTCTTATAGTCCCGCCAGGAGAGCTGCTCCCCAAGACATAGCTTTGGAGATGCCCAAACCAACTGTGAAATACAAAAAAAGGCTTTTCCTGTATAATGCAATTCGAACTTACTTGTTCGCCTTTGTCACCCTTGCTTCCTTTCTGGCCAGGTTCTCCAATCTCACCCTGTTGGATATGAAAATATACAGTTCATGCATACAGCTCAGTAAGCACTCACGTACCTCAAACACCATGCTCTCCAGTCACCTAGCTGTCAAACACCGTGTTCTCCAATAACCTAGCATTTTGGGACCTCAACCAGGAGAAGTCAACTTCTCACGGGCATGTTGATATAGCTGATTATATTATATTTGATATAACTGAGTTATATTCTGACATAACGGTATTCCTTTGCTGATGACACCTTCTCTCAACTGCTGGTAGGTACTGAAAGTATTGCACCAATCTTGCTAGTAGAGAAAGCGAGAATGAAGGGAGTATCCCTGCTTATCAACTTTGGATACCCTTATCTCCAAAGGGGTTTGTTGTTGTAGGTTTTGGGGAAAATACACAACCCCCTTCCCCCCAACACCTGGGGCAATGACACATGAGAGAGGCCCAGAAGGGCCACCAACTGGAACACAGTAAGTCATTTCGTTGACAATGCACAACAAGGAAAATAATCTACGCAACTCTCTCTCAGTGCTTCTGGCTTCACAGGGCTAACAGGATTGCAAAAGTAGGAAAACCTAACTTGCACCACTAAATGGAGCCGCTCCAATTCTGACCTCACACCAGGAGCAGTTCTGCTGAAAGGGAAAAGGGCTTTTTACATTGCTGCTGATCCAAGCGGAGCCTTCTCTTACCTTATCTCCATCCTCTCCTGGCGGACCAACAGGGCCTGCGGGACCTGGGAGTCCGATTGGGCCTTGAATGCCATCACGACCAGCTGGACCTTGAGGTCCTTTCTCGCCCTGGAGGTACAATAAGCATGCACGTTGGACAAGGCTCTTTTTCATTTCCCAAGTCAAGTCTAAAGTCTCATTAATGTCATCATTACTTATCATCTGCCAATGGTTTCTGATAGCATATGAGAGCACACAATACAACTGGTATCTGGTAGACATTTTATAACTCGCTGGTGCTCACTGTTGGAACCCAGCCAGAATTTCCATCTCAAAAGAAAAAAGAAAGCAAAAAAGGGGGGGGAAAACAGCCTGACAGCAAGTATCTGAATTATTGTTGCAATTCCGAACCATAATAGCATCATTATTTTGGATCCCAATTTATCTGCTTGTCTTTTTCTCTGGGTGATGAATAAAACTTTAACGCGTTTTGATTTCCATGATCTGATTCTTATAAACTCTCACTCTAACCAATTAGGAGGAAATGCTAGTTCTCTCTATGGTAAAGTATACTTTCTTTCTCTGTCTACTCCATATCACAGTCGGTTTCTTAAGGAGACTGACCTCTCATCTGTATTTTCTGAGCAATTAAACATATCTTAAGTGGAGAAGGCAACCTCTGCTGGCTTCCACCTTACAACTTTCTTGTATTCCTACGACTGTGTCTGCAATTGAATTTGCCTTTGTTTATATGAGCTGAATGGCTGATGTTTTTTTTCAGTTCCCTGGCACATACTTTAATTGTATCTGAATCCTGGGTGCCCTGTTGTAAATGATTAGATGCCTGATAAATTGCCTATTCATCTGTCCAATAACACATCATACATATACCCTGTTGTACAGATGTTCATAAAGCTGTTTCAAGAGGAAATTCTTGCCTCAGGACTAGCAGCTATAGCTTTCAATAAACCACCAAATGCAGAAAGCAGTGGGGAAAACACACCTTTAATAACACAAATCAATCAACATAAATGTCCTAGCTCAGTCTGAAATCACCGAGACCAGTATTTGGCCATTTCCAGGGATTTGAGGCTGAATGTGATGTGTGTGATTCAAAAAATCGAAGTCAGTGACATGCATCCCAGACAACAGGCCTGGCAGGATTTAGGCAAATGTGCTTCTTCTGTGAGAGATGCAGAGCTGTGCTTTAATATCTATCTATCTATTAAAGCACAGCTCTGCATCTCTCACAGAAGAAGCACATTTGCCTAAATCCGCATCGATAGATAGATAGATAGATAGATAGATAGATATAGATCAGTATAGTGAAATGTTTCTTTACATATATATATATATAGATATAGACATATCTATATATACGTAAAGAAACATCTCACTATACTGATGGCATGATACAATATATTCCCACAGATTAAAGGACTGCAGGAAACTGCTAGATGCATTCACTCACCCACCCATCTGTCTACTTCGACTCATACAATGAAGTCCATTAGCACAGCAGGATCTGAGCAAATTCCCTGGTTTTTTTTTCCCTTCCTTATTCTGAAGTCCAGTTAACAAGTCATACTTCAGTGTTTGCTGCTGCCATTAACCCAGACTGCTCTAAACAGACTCTTCCCATTCTCTGCTATTATCGATATATTTATATTGCATCAGTTCCCACAGGCACCACCTAGGATGCCCAGGTCCACACATGCTGAAGGCTGCACATACATGTAAGCAGCAAGCTTTGCTAGGCAAGGACAGCAGAAGAAGCACTGCAGGGTTTTCTGGAGGTGGATAGTTAATCCAAAAACAGATTTTAGTTAGCCTTATAGCTAGCTAGTTATTCCAAAGAGGCATGACAGTATCATAATCCCAGTTTATTCTCCTGAATATGATGTGACATGCCATAGCTTTGGGGTGAACCTACTATAGGGAGGTGTCTGCAGCTGACCCACTGTCTTTTAGCATGGCAAAGCATTTGCATTCAAGGAAGCTTTCTGAGCATCTAAGAACAACCTAAGGCTGATGGGAAGAAGATTTGCCTTCCTAAACAGTAGAGCTAAGGACTTATACCTTTTTCTTTGTCAGGAGTTTTGCAACTAAACTGACAGTTGTGACTTTTCTTTGCCTAATTACAATACCCCTTTTATAAAGGTGATTTAGGCTGTGGACAGATGTAATAATAAGTAGTTAACAGGTGTAGAAGCTAAGTGTTGCTTAGAAATGGAAGAGCTGCATCAGTTCAGTGTGACCCACAGTATATCAGTGTCATTTAAAACCAGTATAATTGTTTCACGTATCCACCCCCTTGTTCTGCAGCATCCATTTTCCTTTAAGGCCCATGAGCTCACACTCAGGTCCGGGTTTATCCACACGCAGTGTCAGGGGCATATTAAAGCGGCAGCAACTTTATTTTTCTCATTTTTCTTTCAGTTTAGCCTCTAACAAAATGACTACTGTGGGTCTCAAAAGAGACAGAAATGCAACAACACAGGGGAAAGGAAGGCAAAAGGAACAATCAGTACATGCAAGATGCTGTGGTCTGGTTACTAGGGGTAGCCCCAAAGGTGAAATAAGCTGCCCATGAGCCTGTCCTGCGGTTGTTTTTCACTGAGAACCACTCTGACCTGTCATTTCTACCATCTTTTCATCTTTTCCTGCTCTGAGGACCGCTTCTCATTTGCTAAAGTCATTTCTAGCCCTAGGTATATACATGGTCTGTAGCACAGATGTTAAAACAGGGTTGCAGGATTGCATTTTGACTGCAGGGCTCACCTGTTCAATGTGGTTAAGAGTGAGAGGGAGACAGCATATGCAATGAAAACACACTGATCTAAGTGAATAAAGTATGGCACCATAGGAGGAGTGTTTGCTGTTCTTTTCTGCCCTGTACTTTTCCAGCTCGCTTATCCCTATGTATAGCCCTGATGGTGGCTGTTCCACTGCCTGGGCTCACACTGGCATGTTTTCTCAGCACCCACGCACAAGATGTTGCAGGAAGAAGCTGTGAAGGCAGCGGAGAGGAGAAAACATCTCGACTTTCATCTTAAACTATCTAGAGCTGAGTCATCCTGGTATCCATGTACCTGCCCTCCTCCTGGCACCAGTCATGAGGAATATCAAAAGAATAATACTCACCGGCTCCGTGAAAAGAAAATTTAACTGAAAGCAACACTGCAGAAATCTCGCCCTAACCTACGGGAACAGGACTGAGAATCACTGGAGTAGAAATTCCCTCTGTGAGATTTCCTTTCCTAAAATTGCCATATGTATTGTCTATAGGGGAACTTGTGTACCTTGGCAGATGGGGTTCAGTAGCCCACGGACGGCCTGATGAACTCACCTTCAGTTGTGCCCGCAGCATAATTTTCACACGCACACAAAGCATTTTCTAACTCCCCTCACACTGAATACACAGACACGTTTCACCCGCTGCCGCCCACCTGGATGCAAACGACTTACCGGAGCACCCTTTTCGCCAGCAGGTCCTGGGGGGCCTTGGGGTCCAGGCCGTCCAGGCAAACCAATGGGGCCAGCTGCACCAGCAGGACCTCTCTCACCAGGAGAACCCTGTTGTGGGGACATGGGAGGAAAGGCATCGTGTGTATGTAAACGATGGAGGGAGATCGGACCGCAAAATTAGGCTGAAGGAAACACCTGAAGTGCAAATGTCAGTGTTTAAGAGAGTGCAATGAGAGGGGGCACAGTCAGGTACCAGTTCTGCACCATGAACGCAAGGGGTCTCGTAGACTCTTCTTGTAACTAAACTCCTGCGAATGACCGAGATCTTCTCTAGGTGGTGCAGGAACTCGGTTATCAGAGCTTGAAGTTGAAGAAGCACCTGCCATTTCATCACTAAATTAAACAAAAGGGTTTGATGATGACCCTTGTCCTCCAGAAGACAATTCAGCTCTGCTGAATGAGAAATCCCAGGTGAGCGCAACGTGCAGTGGGCACAGCTAGTTATTTAGAAGTAAAAAGCCCCAATCCCCCATTGCAAATGCCCGAGGCATCCAGTCCCCTTGCTCATCAGATGTTTTCTTGACTCCCAGACAGAGCTACTGCCTGCATGTCAGGTAAAATAAAAGGATACCCAGATATGTAGCCATTAACACCAACGTGGAATAATGTCTGTTAAACAACTTCTAGTTTTCTGTAGTTTTTTATTAGGCCTGCAAATGTATTACATGGTGCCACGCAAAGGCTTGGAGCTAAAACTTACCGCTGGGCCTGGGGGGCCTGGAGGACCTTCATTGCCTTTCAGCCCTAGAGCTCCCTAGAAGCAAAGCAAAAGAGAAGAAAAAGAGCATCATTCTCAAAAAGCATATGGCAGTATATCTTTATCTTACATCACATGGCATTATATACTTCATTCATTCAATGAGAAGGGTAAAGGGGGCTTTAACTTACAATGGGGCCAGGGAGACCTCTCTCCCCAGGGAAGCCTCTCAAACCAGGCGGTCCATCTTTTCCTGGAAGGCCAGCGGGACCTGGGTCACCCTGAAATGAAAAGTGTTAATTCTTTTAAACTTTGCAATCAGCAAGAACAGAAGGTCTTTCCACCAGGTTCTCAATACAGACACTCTTATTGGGACTTGCAAGTCTATATTTCCTCTCTGAAACTTCTCCCTTCATCCAGCCAGGCTTGAATCTACAAAAGAGGCCCCATACACCTCATTATCCAAGGGTAACTTGTCATCTTAACTGCATGCTCAACTACAAAACCTTAAACTCCATAGGAGACACTGATCAAGGGGGATCTCTGGCAAAAAAACAAAAAAAACAAAAAAGAAACCCCTTTATACAACATGGATGGAGCTGCATCGTTCAAATGCAGGTCTGGGTCTGGGTTTTGGAGGTCTTATCTCCTAAAGTTCAGACCACATTTAGATCTCTGGCTGTGGTTCTGCTCATTATCAAGAAAGTTGTTAATTGAGGAATACTGATCCAACATTTAGGGGACTGGGACAATTCAGGTTTGGGGTTCCTGCTTCAGGTTACATGCAGATGGAAATGCCACCCCACGTAAAGTCACGGATTTGCTCACAAGACGGACAGCCTTAGTTAAGTTACTGCTTGACATGCAAATCTTAACGCCCGTCACCCCCAACTACCCTCTCTGCCCTTGCAATCAGTCTGTTATGGGCATGGGCACCCAGACTGGCCCTCAGGTCAATGGCAGGCACAAATTATACCTGCAAATCAGGGGTGGGGGAACAGACACTTGGCATTATCCACTCAGCTCCCAGCAGATCACTCATAGGTCATCAAACAGAAGCAGGTACCTCCATTTCTAACTGGAACCAGCCCTCTCTTCCACCCTTGTGCCTTGAACATCATCTCCCAACACAGCCCTGCGCTCTGGATGGTATAGGAGTCAGAAGACAAGTGCCAGCCACATACCTTGGTCCCTTCCTTTCCAGTGAGTCCAGGAAGCCCCTGTTCACCTGGTGGACCAGGTGGGCCTGGATGTCCACGCTCGCCCATTGGACCCGTCTCACCAGTAGGGCCCTAAGAAAAGTCAGGGAGATGCAAAGGAAGGTGTTCAAGATGACAGGTTGTCTAACACATCAGAAAATGTGAATGAGACCTTTGAAAATCTAGACAGCAGCTGCTGAGAAGCAGTGTGATCTTTGACAGAAGGCTGATGAACAGAGATCAGTGTGCCCCTAAGTGTCCCCATCCAGAGCTAAGGAAGAGGCCTGAACCCTTTCGAGTGAGGAAGTAATATAAGACGGCAGCTAGCTGTGCTTCCAAAGGAGATAGGCGACTCCAGAGCCCAAAAAGACCTCTTTCTTCTAGCAACAGGCATAATTCTGGAGAAGTCCTTTCCACCAGAAGCTGGGATGCACATAAGCAAGATCTGTTATGGATATTAGTCGTCCAACATCCACCTAGGAGATGTAAGGATGCTGGGTCTGGGGCACAGGGCCTTGCCTCTACATCACCGCATCCAAGAGCGTTGGAAGCATGAAGCAGGGCCAGGATGACAAGCCCATCGGGTCCAAGCACGCAGGCTGTCTTCACCATAACTTTTGTTAGGGCTGCACAATTCTTCTGAAGACCCTCTGTATGAAGGGAATTGGAGGAAAACATTTCTGAATTCCAGTGCCCATGTACTCAAAAAGGCATTCGATGAAATGGCTAGCTCCACTGCTGGAGCAGTCTGTGGCGTTCCTCATTTTGGGCACACGTGACAGGTCTTTCCTTAGGCACCCTTCAATTATAGGTTCAATGGGTTCAATAATGATGTCCTCTTTCTGCAGGCTACACTATATTTGCAGAGTTCAATAGAGTTGGCATAAACTCTGCTTTCAAAGTATGCGAGCATTTGCCTTGTAATACAGGATTTACACTGCCATTAATTTGAATGGATAACTTGATTGCTGTGTAATTAAACAGTGAACAACTCATATATAAATCAGTCCCCCTTCAATCAAAAACCTTTGCAATAAAAAAAGCTTGCTCACATAATGCAGTTTTTATTTGTGCAGGAAGCTGCACAGAGTTTGGCTGGGACTGAAAAGGTTTGGTAGCATCTGGCAATAGTCTAAAACTACATTAAACAACATTTCCCCAGAAAGTAAAGCAATTTAACAGCAGTGTTGCTTCAAATCCATCTTGCCATGGAACATATCAATCCCTTCTGCAGCCATTCGACATTGCTCTTAAAGTAACTCGAAGTCTTGCAGTAAAATAACATGCAAGTATTAGGTATCCAGTTGTAGCCATATTGGTCTAGAGGAAAAGGCAATCAGGAGGTGAGCGGCTCCACACCAGCTATGAACTGCCTGCCCAGAGGAGTTTTCCATCTATTGATTCCTCTGTGAAATCCTATGAACTATGAACGTGCATATCTACCCAGGGGAATTTTTACAATCTTTCCTCCGATGCCTGATGAAGGGTGCTTGTGCCCGAAGCCTGATGAAGGGCGTTTGTGCCCAAAGCCTGACGAAGGGCATTTGTGCCCAAAAGCTCGCAATTAAAGAAATTTTTTTTGCAAAAATCTTGTTGGTCTAATAAAAGAGATCATCTCTACTCCAGGTCCGGAATGTAAGTAGTATAAACTTGTGATGAGACACCCAACAGGCCAAATTTTGCAACCAATTCTCCTCTTACACCATTTTGACACCACTATGACTGCATTAACTTCCTTAATTCCTGATTTACTTCAGGGTTAGTGAAATCCCAGTCAGTCCTGCTGCTCCCAGCTTCATAGCAAATCTGAAGTGACTTCACTGAGCAGAAGGGGAAGATGATTTATTCAGCCCTTTGATTTCAAGGGCAGTTTTATCTTAGCGCTCTATCCTGAGAGATGCTGGAAGGTGCCTTTGACAGGCTGGGTCTCTGAGTAGAGATACAGGAGTAAAATTCAATCCAAAATGAAGCAAAAGAGATTTTGGATGCTCACAACCATTACCAGCCAGGGTTTACAAAGAGGTCAACATCTCATGGATGTGGCCATAGATCCTTTTGAAACCGCTAGTCTATTCATTCTCCCAGAAGCTTTGCTAAACTAGGCAGTCTCCGGCACTTCCAAGTCTACTGGGATATGTAGGTAGGATTAAGCAGTGCAGGAAGGCAGTGACTTACTTACCTGAGGGCCAACAACCCCTGGAGGACCTGGAGGTCCTGTCTTGCCTTGGAAACCCTGTTTTGAAAAGAAAAAGAAGAATACGTGGTGCTTAGCCATGAGACATATGAAGGCATATAATCTTAGCATTCCGCTTGACTGCCTCTCCTCTGTTAAAACTTATCATCAGTTAGGAAGGACGGAGAAAACTGAACACAGTAAAAGGAAGAAATCAAGCAGACATATCCCAGGAGATGGCATATACCTTTCTGTTAATTCACAGAGCCATAGTTGGAAAAAAGATCAGCAAACCCTTTCAAGTACAACTGTGATTTCCATGGGTTCAGAAAATGAGCCATTTCTAAGAGGCTGATCAGGTCCTCAGCTGGGAGAAGTCAGCACAACTCTGCTATTTCAACAGAGCCGCTCTGATTTATCCGCTTTGAGGATCTGACCGTATTATATTTATAAACACTTTTCACACTCATGAAATCGGTGAGACTGGAGGAGATAGTGAAGAAAATTATGACTTTATCTTGGCTAGTAATACAATTTGGGATTATTAAAGATGGGGAAGTCTTAAAACCTAATTCCCTTTTCCTCCTCCTTGTGCTGTTATAGTTTTCATTTTGTGCTCTGCTCAGCACATGAGCTTTGAGACTAATCCGCTGTCTTTCCCATTCTCATGCAGTCAGTTTGACTTGCTGCTTTCCCAGAAGTGGCACAAGGATACTGTATTTGTTTGAGTTTCCCAATTGTATTCAGTGTTTCATCACCATTTGTTGGGAACAATTATGCACGCATTTTTGTTTGCAGCAGTTTGAAACAACGCTTGCAAATTTAGTGGTGCCAGTTTGAGCTGTTTCACAGGGTCCCTCTAAAGATGGAGCAGTCTTTAGAGTCCTGTCAGGCTCACTCATTCAGAAGTGCTCTTGATCTCTATCTAAATTATGGGTTGTACAGGTGGAAAATAGCAAGCTCGCAAACCATGAAAGCCGCTGCTTGGCAAAATTACTTCCCTTCAACCAAGAGCCTGCTACAGCTCTTTTCTGAAATGTGCCTTGCAGAACTCCTAGTGCAAAGGACTGCACTATCTACACTGTATGTGCACTGCGCACGTGCATGTCCGCGTGTGCGCATGTGTGTGTGTGTCCCCTATTGCCTTCAATGGGTATAACTATGACTGACAGCAAATTATGTACGCTATTCCTTAGAGGGCAACAATATTCGCTGTACCATCACCAAATTTGCCTGAGTTTTATTGCCATTCATTCTGTAATCTAGCATGCTTGAAGAATATTATTACAAAGGGCCAGTGCTATACCATACTAGAAAGCTGCTTAATATCACTTTGCTGGGTTGTTGGTTGTAGCCATGTTGGTTTAAGGATGTAGGCAGACAAGGCTCTTTGGGCAGATATGATATCTTTTATTAGAGCAACTGAGTAGTTGGAAAAAAGTTCTTTGCAAGCTTTCAGATGCAATCACCCTTCCTCAGGCACAGGAAAGCTTGCAAAGAACTTTTTAAACTACTCAGCTGGTCTAACAAAAGATATCACATCTACCCCAAGAACCTTGCCTGCTTAATATAACTTCGACATGCTTCCAGTTCATGAACTAAAAGGTGGAGCTGATGGAAAAATTGCGAACTTTTTTTGTAAAAAGGTCACTTGCTTTTGGAAAATGCAAAATAATTTTTATCAGTTCTACAATGGAATTTGTTTTGAAGGAGGAGAAAGTTTTCTCCAGGTCTCTGCCAGAATCTCGAAGAAGATTCGGTATGGTTTTCTCTCGCTTTCAACACCACCTTTTCATATATTTGTTATCACAGCTACGTGTCCAATGATACTTCAATGTCCCCAGTCTCTGCTGGATGGAAAGAAAAGTGAGACGTGCATCCTAAGTAAGGTTTCTTGCTTGCAAGTACATATGGCTATAAACACGATTCTGCTCTGGATACAGTATTTGATATATTTCCCATTCACTCCCCAATGCTGTCTGATAACAGCATAAGGAAACAGGATGAGAAATGGAAAGAAAAAAAGTCACTCAAATAATTTTAGTAATAAGGCACTGGCCAAGTATTTTAAAACTCATTTTGGAAATTTAAACACTCAAGCTGTTGGCTGAATAGAAAGAATACACTGAAAGGCAGCAACAGCTGGAGCGCGAGTTATAAAATGGGTTTGCAAATATTTGTGTCTGTAGAAATACCATAAAAGTTCTGCAAACTCTGTGTGTGTGTGTGTGTGTGTGTGTGTGTGTGTGTGTGTGTGTGTGTGTGTGTGCACGCGCGCATGTGCTAGCAGTCCCACTGGGATTGAATTTGATCTCATAGTGGTTTTATTGTAGATATAACTCAATTAATCACAGGGAAGTTACTCCTGATTTACAGTATGATAGTAAAATCAAAATCAAGCCAAATGATTTCAAGTGATACCTGTGAGTAACGTAAGCAGGATTTGGCCCACAGGCTTAAATG